AACCATCGTTTCATCTTTTTCTGAGCTTTTTTAAGATTCTCAGAAGCTAATCTGCCAGCCAAGAAAAGTCTGCGACGAAAACCATTAATGTAGTCGAACAAGTTTGATGGTGGATCAGAACTCTCCAGGTTGGTTTTTAGGACAGCAAGGGGCCCGCGTACATGATGTCCAAACACTAGTTCGTTTGGACTGAACCCTGTGCTTTCCTGTACCACTTCACGAGCTGCCAGAAGAAGCCAAGGCAAACCTTCTTCCCAATCTCTATTCAACTCTGTGCAGTATGCTCGCAACAATGCCTTCAGAGTTTGGTGAAAACGCTCTAGTGCCCCCTGGCTTTGTGCATGATAAGCACTGCTTTGTTGATGGGCTACACCAAGTTGTTTCAAAATCTCAGCAAACATGCGTGAAGTGAAATTGGTACCTCTGTCTGTCTGAATAGTCTTAGGAATTCCAAACACGGAAATGAAATTAGATAAAGCTTTGACCACAGACCTTGTTGTAATGGTTTTCAGGGCATATACTGCAGGATAACGAGTGCTTTTACACATAACTGTCAGCAAATACACCGATCCTGACTTTGAAGGACTCAGTGGACCAACACAGTCAATAATTAAGTTTTCGAAAGGTTCACCAACAGCAGGTATGGGAAAAAGTGGAGCTGGTTTCAAGTTCTGATTAGGCTTTCCAGTTAACTGACAGGTGTGACAGGTTTTTATAAAAAGAGAGACATCTTTTTTCAGACGGGACCAATAAAAATAACGCAACACTCGACTATAGGTTTTATTAACTCCCAGATGGCCAGCCAGCTCTCCATGGGCAGTTTTCAGAACGAGGTCTCTGAACTTAGTTGGAACAACAACCTGATAAACTGGTCCAACAACTTCCCTGTCACTATAAGGCAACCATTTACGTACCAACAGACCTTCTAGAAGAAAATACCCATGTGACACTTTTGAGTCCTTTTCTGTTGCCTGGACTTGTTTAAACAAAGCAGCCAAGGTAGCGTCCTCCTGCTGGGCTGCAATCAACTCACTGAGGGACAAGGGAACAGGAAGAGTTGGCAAACAGACAAGCTTCTTGCAGATAGAACCAGGCTTACCAGACTCGGTTCTGGAAAAGACTTAAAGTCAACAGGTGCAGCTAAAACAGTTGGTCTAACACCTTCAACTTCAGCTGGAGGTGTAGACTCCACTGATTTCGACTGCAAAACTCCGGCTAATGCAACAGGTTTACGATGATCTTGTTTACTCTTAACTGGTTTAGATTTGGAATTCCAAGGACACTCATTTTTCCAGTGTCCCTTCTCACGACAATAGTTACAAACTGAGGCGGCTTTAAAGTGCAAAGTAGGATCCCATCTAGTTTTACTAGGGAACCCTTCATGGTGGGATTCCTTAAGGTAATGACTATCTTCCACATTAAAATCACTCCCAGCTTTGTGTGTTAGAACATAGTCATCTGCTAAAATGGCAGCTTTAGCAGCGGTTTTTACTTTTTGCTCATTAACATAAGTGGCAATCCGACGTGGAATAATGTTCTTAAACTGTTCCAACACCATCAACTCGCAAAGGGATTGCAAGTCATCTACACCTTCTGCCGATAACCAACGGTAGAATTGGGCATTCAGTTCTCTGGCAAGATCTGTATTTGTCTGTTTTTCAGCCTTCCTGTAGTTTCTAAATTGCTGCCTATAATATTCAGGAACCCGTTCATAAGCCTTCAAAACAGCTTCCTTAACAGATTTGTACACCTTTCTTTCCGCTGAAGGTAATGAAACATAAGCTTTTTGGGCCTTACCCACCAGTACACTTTGCAGGAGAATGGAGCAATCTGAGTCACTCCAGTCATTGTCCTCTGCCATGTCCTCAAACAAAGAGAAAAATATATCTGGATCTTGTTCATTGAACTTAGGTAACAGCTTCAACATGTTAACCAGGTTACGTCCAGAGAACCCATCACTAATTTGAGACAGATTAAGAGTTCCACCACTTAACCTACCCTCAGACCTCAACTTCAGATGCTCAGCTTCTAGAGATAATTTCTTAAGCTCTAACTCATGTGCATATGCCAACCTCTTTTCATCATGTTCACGTGCTAACCTCCTTTCCTCAAATTCATGTTCACGTGCTAACCTCTTCTCTTCCAGTTCATGTTCACGTGCCAATCTTTTTTCATCATGGACCAGCCGCAACTTTTCCAACTCAAACTGCAATTCAAACTCAGTTCTTTTAGATTGAAACTTTAATTGAGAATCTTGAGTTACTGTTGGATCCAAAATGTCCTCATCTGACCTAGAGGCACCGGTTAACGAATCTGCATGAGTGGAAGTCTTGTCCGTCATATCAGCGTCTGAAACAGAAACAGTAAAGACATTCATTTTCACAAGATTGTCTTTTAAAAAACCCTTTAGCTGGGGTAACCTCCATCCTTTTGCAGCTTCAAAATCAATTCGAAAGTGTTCAGCTACTTGACGAATCTGCTCCTTGGTGAGCTTTTCCAAAAGTTCTAAAGTTGGGGAAGCCAAAAAAGAACTAACAGTATCCATTTTTTAACAAAATTGGAACTAAATTCCAAAAGCCAGACAGCAAATACCCAAATTTTTCACCCAACAACTATGAGGAACTGTATGACTGGTGCAAACAAATGGCAAATCTCCACTTTCCTACAGCTAACTAAGTGGAACACAAACATAAACAAACAAACAAAAAAAACTGACTCACCTCGCCTAGTCTTCAGGCCTTCCTCCAAGAGCCAAGGCAGCCAAGGCAGTTGAAGCACCAAGCGGTGCCCTTAGCCCAGAATCCAGCCCAAAAATAACAAAAACAACGTCGACTAAAAAAATGGAGTTGCCAACACCCACCGATTTCAACCAACTAGACGACACACTCGGCCGCCCCCCAAAAACAAAATCCTCATGGACCCCCAAACAGACAGAAGAAACAAGAAAACCAACCAGGCCAAAATCACAAACAACCGGCAAGACAAGAAAACACAACAATACCAAAACAGGAGCATGTAACTGCCATCTGAACAGAACAAACAACGCCAAACACGGCACCAACAACGTGTAGGACGAGCCCCCACAATGTTACGTCCACCAGGCTTGTTTGGTGGGGGTAACATTAAAGGAGGCCACACAAGGATTTTCAGTTTAAATGAAGATAGTGTTTATTAAATTGTATGGGAGCATGGCCCAAAACAAAGATTTTAATCCCTGAAAAGTAGCCTCAATGGGTAAATGCAAACCAACAAACAAACCCCAACCACACTGATACGAACCAATCCACAAGGTGTTCTGAGGAGGAGGAAGGGAAGCTCTCCCCTGCTGCACACCTGGCAGCTTTTATCACAGAGGAGCACCAATCAGGGCAACACAGAACACCTGCAGAAGGCCTGTCTCCAGAACCATACCAGGAAAAGAGGCAAAGACCACTGCAGCCGTAACAGTTAGCAAGTAACACAATCTATTATGAGTAGAATGTATCCTGATGTGAACCTGTGTTGGATAGTTCTCTAATACGTACAACAATGAAATCTGAATTTGAACCTCACCTTGTGTAGTAAAATGTCTACCTGTGAGCTAACTCAACATAAAGCGAGTCATGTATCGGAAAACCATAAAAACCATTCAAGTAAAAGTTATTGGAAAGTCACACATCAAAGCCTTGTTTTTAATCTTCTGTATTAACTTCAATTACTTCAGCTAAATTATTAGAGTTGTAATGGTTTGCTGGAGTCACGGTTCAGTACGTACCTTTAGTATGACAGTCACCGTTTGGTGCGTACCATAGTACAATGGTCACAGTTAAGTATGTACTTCAGTATGAGGGACACACTTTGGCGTGTACCTCAGGATGAGGTCATGGTTCCCGGAAGTTTTGTTAGTAGGGAGGAGAAGGTCATGTACATCAATGTAGGATTTGTCTACTGGTAAATTCACTATAAAATGAAAAACGTTATATTTTCCAGTTGATTTTTTTATTTATTTTTTAAATCCAGTCTGAAGCGTGAACAATAATCCACAGACAATGTGTCAAACAGAATGTTAAACCTCAGAGAGGTATCTCTTAAGAAAAAGTTGTTTTTCTTTTGGCTGCTCCTTTGCTCAGGGGTCAACACACTCGCAGTATAACTTTTTTTTGCAACAGATGCTCTTCCTGACACAACCTGCAAACTTCTCAGCTAACTGAGTGCTAGTGTGAGAACATAATTCATATTATTATAGTTTGCCAGTGTGTTTCAAAGTATTGCTTAAATGATAGAACTGCTTCCCATACATGCACACTACTGAAGCTGTTGGTAACCAGTGACACCAGGGTGCTTTTTTTCTTCCAGCTGATTTGAATTAAACAGGCAGTTTTTTTGCTTATGTGGGTTTTTCTGAACTTACCATGTTTATTTGTTTCACGTAGTGTTTAGGTTGTATCTTTATTCTTTACCCGTCCAAAACATCTGCACTGAACCATCACGGTACAAATATATGTACCGTTACGCCCCTACTATTTATATTTCCATTAGCTTTGAGGCTGTTTTTTACTTCTACTATTGGTACAAGTGTGAAAATATGATGTTTTAGCTCATACTCTAGCAGAAAAACAATATTTAACATTTACAAACTTTTAATGCAACTCTGGATGTTTTTTTTTTTTGTTTTTTTTTACCAGTTTCACTTTATTTAGAGAGAAATGAAAGCATGCATTTACAATAAAGCAGGATAGAAACAGCACAGAAACTCAACAAAGGCATGTTTTGTCCAAGCTTTTAAACATGCTTTTATTGTTTTATCATAAACCACTCCCAAGTCTGCAGTTTTTCACCCCTTCGTTTGCTCAGTGTTGTGTCAGGGATATCGTCTTCTCTCTGGACTTTGTCCTCTCACTGATCAATCAAACAACAAACTGACTTTACCAAACACGTTTAGGTTGTTTGAAATAAACAAGTTTTAATAGTCAGATTATGAATTTGTCTTTCTCACTTTGCGTTGTTTTTACTTCTTTCAGCTCTCATTTTCACAGGGATCGTCATACAGCTTAATCCAAACGCAGGTAAGGAAGAGAAACCACTCTGCTACGTGTGTTGGATTTTGGTTTCAGGAGTTGCACAATCGGCGTGTTAGTCCAAATGTTTTTGAGCCATGAAGACGCATGCTAAAATAAATTCGACCTACATTAACAAGCTACTGACCAAATATCAAACAAATCAATGTTTTACTGCAACCTCTGGGTTACCAGTGGGGGTGTAGGAGCCTAAATGCTCTTTTGGTTTGTTTGTTAAAGTTTGAACATATCAGAAGAAGAAAAAAAAATGCTATTTATATATGTATAACTTAATATTTGTGTGTTCAGAGTAATTATTTTTGATAAATGTTTAATAATTATTTGATTATTTGATAATTAATTATTTGATAATTATTTAATAATTAATGCATGTAACTAGCATAAATGCTATATACATGCATTCTTTGTTTGTGGAACGATTATGTAAGCTAAGTTTACCTAGGAAGATCAATACTAAATTTTGATTGGTTGGTAAAGTACAGCAGGAGAGCAGAGGGGACTTGTAATAAATGATGGCCTACAGGGCCTCTCATAGTTTGGCTTCAGAATAGGCATGAAGCCCCATAGGTTTTTGACCTCTCGTATTTATCTTAACACTTTTCTTTTGTTTATACTTGGATATTGTACATGTATTATTTGTGTTTTTTTAATAGAAAGAGTTTGGAAATATTGATAATGCATTCCATTTATGTAAAAGTGCTACATATCAAGAATCGTAAAAAACAAAATAAATTAACAATAATTATAAAAATCACGGGCAGCACAGTGGCGCAACTAGTAGAGCTGCTGCCTCTAAGCGAGCAGGTCCCTGGTTCAAATCCCGGTCCGGGGGCCTTTCTGGGTGGAGTTTGCATGTTCTCTCTGTGCATGCGTGGGTTGTTTCCAGGTACTCCGGTTTCCTCCCACAGACCAAAAACATGCATGTTAGACTGATTGGTAACTCTAAATTGTTCCTAGGTGTGAGTGAGAGAGTGAATGGTTGTTTGTCTCTGTGTCCCTGTGATGGATTTGCGACCCATCCAGGGTGTACCCCGCCCCTCGCACAGTGATTGCTGTTTTAATGATACGGCGACCACCGAGACCCAAAATGGAAGAAGTGGGTAGAAGATAATGGATGGATAGATGGATAAAAATCACTAAAATCAGTGCAGGTCACAAAAACGACAAAACAAAGTTTTTAATAATTTTTTGAAGGATCCTACAGTCTGTAGTTCCCTCAGGTGGTTTGGAAGTGAATTCCACAGTTGAGGAGCAGCAGGGCAGAATACTCGACCCCAATTGTGTTGAGCTCAGTTCTGGTAGTTTGAAGATGAGATGAGCAGCTCATTAAGGTACTGTGTCTGCATTGGTGTGTCAGAAGACAGATCTTCTACTGGATTCTGGCAGAAACAGGAAGCCAATGAAGAAAACGCAGAACTGCTGTGATGTGCTCATGTTTTTTTAGTTTTTGTTTAGAGTCTGGCAATGCTGTTCTGGATAAACTGGAGCTTTTGAAGGTTTTTATTAGAGATGACAAAAAGAGTCGAATTGCAATAGTCCATTCTTGAAGACACAAAGGCATGGATCAGTTTTTCAGCGTCAGACTGTGATAGCAAGGAACTAAGACTTGAAATGTTTTTTAGATGAAAAAATGAGGTTTTACACAGGTGTTCAACATGAGAGTCAAAGGAAAGGTGAGGATCAATCCAGACACAGAGGCTTGTGACAACAGAAGAGAGTGTAATGACCAGAAAAGTTTCTAGCTGTTCTGGGAGAAGACTGGATTTTATGGGGAGCACCAGTCAACATGGCCTCAGTTTTGGAGCTGTTTTTTTTTTTCGTTCATCCAAGACTTTATCTCCTCCAGACAAGTGAGTGTGGAGAGTGGTGGTGGTGGTGATGTGGAGGATGAAGCAGAAGGGTAACGGTCCATTTCTATATAAAGTTGAGTGTCATCAGCATAGCAGTGGAAGGATATCCCATGGCTTCTGATGACTTGAACTAGAGAAAGTACTGTATGTACAGTATGAAGAGGACAGGGCCAAGGACTGACCCTTGAGGTACCCCACAAGTGACGATATGTGTCTTTGACTTGGCTCCTCTGATGGCAACATGTTCAATCATGTCTGAAAACTAGGACCAGAACCAGTAAAAAACTGTCACAAAACCCAACAGTGAACGAGGCGGTTTAGGAGAAAGTTGTGATCAATGATGTCGAACGAGCTTTTGGCTCATATTTCCTCTAAAAATAGATTTGTCTGAAGAGTGTTGAGATTAACTAAATGTTTGTGATTGGTTTTAATTTGGGGTGCCAACATTTACGGGTCGGGGTTAGAAACAGGCTCTGGTGGAATCTGACTCACTGTAGTGTTGTTTAAAGTCGCTTAGATACTTTTTGTTTTAAATCTGACAGTTTCAGTGTTTTGGCTCAACCCTGAGCTGCTCCGTTTAACGACTGTAATCACATTTAATCTGCTTCTCAGAGAATAGTCCGGTCCCTCTGTAGAAGGAACCGGTATTTATTGGTAGCTGATGCAGCCACAAAGGGATGGTTGTAAAGTGAAACATTTTGTCAAATAATAGAAGTCATTGTTAATTTTATCTTTTAACAAAAACTTGCAGATTGAAGCAAACAATGGATTCAGGATCTATTTTATGCCACAAGATTGGAGAACGTTTTGGTATTTCTGTAAATTTTGAACTCGTGGAAGAGTTTAACCTTGGACTCGTTGATGCAGCGGTGAACTGAATTCATTGACTGTTTTTCTTAAGTGAGTCGCGTTTCTACTCAGAACGATCCGTCTTTAGTACTGTGCTGACAGGAGCCTTGAAGGACCGAGTTGAATTTGTGTTTAGGCTTGTCTTCATGGACAGCTAATTCTGCACTTTTAAACATACTTTTTATCACAAAGGTTGGCTTTTTTTTTTTCTTGCAGTACACATTATTCTTAAATCTTTCCATATTTACCAGCAGTCTCCTTTAATATTTACTGCCTAAAAATATCAGCTTTTCTGCAAGTTATTTTTACACCTACTTGTCTTTTTGCACATAAACGTGGACGCTTTACCTGTGATTTATGAACTGTTTTAAGTTGTGTTCACTTACAATGTTTTCACATTACAGTCTTGCAGTGTCAGCGACAGTAGCATGTGATTAGTGTTAGCTTCCACTAATTTATTTTATCTGTTTAGCGGTTTAGTGTTAGCAAAGCTAATTTTTTAGTTTGCGAATTAGTGGTTAGCGAAGCTAACGTTTTAGTTAGCTGCGCCAACCAAAACTGTTAGACACTGTTATATACTAAGTGTTTTCCCCAGGTCATTTTTGGATATGCTGGTGCTCATTCGTTTGTTTGTGTGTTCAGATCACTCACAGTCTCATCACTGCTCTAAAAACTTTTTTTTTTATTGAGAGAAAGTAATCCTCTCCTTTATTCTGAGACAGTATGACTAAGAGTGGAACTATAGTTCAAAATGAATTCATTTCGCCAAAGTCTAACCTGTTTTTGTCCTTTTTGTTCATTTTTTATTTTATTTTATTTTTTACATTTTTCTTCTTTAAGCTGTTCTCTCTCCAGGAGTCTCCACAGCGAGTCGTCCTCCTCCATCTCACTGTCCTCACGCCAGCTACCTCCACGTCCTCTCTAACTGCATCCATATTTATCCTCTTTGTCTTTTACCTGGCAGCTGGATTTCTAACATCCTTCTACCAATATATCCACAGTTCCTCCTCTGGACATGTCCAAACCATCTCAGTCTGGCCTCTCTAACTTTATCTTGTTCAACCTGTGCTGTACCTCTGATGATCTCGTTCCTAATCTTATCCATCCTTGTCACTCCTAAGGAGAACCTCAACATCTTCATTTTTGCCACTTCCAGTTCTGTCTCTTGTCTTTTTGTTCACGTCTCTGTCTCCAGACCATACAACACAGCTGGTCTTGCAAAAGTCTTGTAAACTTTCCCTTTGACCTTTGCTGACACCCTTTTGCCACAAATCACTCCTGAAACTTTTCTCCATCCACTCCATCCTGCCTGGACTCTCTTCTTCACCTCTTTACCACACTCTCCATTTTCCTTGACAGTGGACCCCAAGTACTAGAAGTCCTGCACCTTTGTGACCTCTGCTCCTTGTAGCCTCACTGTTCCACTGGCCTCCCTCTCATTCACACACATGTACTCTCTCTTACTACAGCTGACTTTCATTCCTCTTCTTTCAAGTTTTCGACTAACAGTATCACCTTTTCCACCGGCAGCCTGTTTGTCAATAGCACCGGAGGTGGTTGTTGTTAACCCGGGCCTCAACGAATCTGGTTTGGTGTTGTTTAAATGAGCTCACATGTTTGTTTTACATCAAGTGCCTTTTCTGACACATCCCTCACCATTTACCTTGGCTTGGGATTGGCACAAGATACAGTGGCTTGTGCTCCCTAGTGGCTGGGTTTTGTTTTTTTTTTTAAACATTTTTCTTGTGTATCTTTGTTCCAAATAACAGCTGCAGTGTTACAATTGATATTATTTTCCACATTTTGTCTCATTACTACATGGATGTTCAGTAGTTTGTTAGGTGATCCTATTTTTATGTGCTCTGGCATTAACTCCTCGGGGACTCATTTACAAGAGAGACCTGATTTTAACAAAGAGTGATGACAACAGTGGTCAACAAAGACAACAGTAGATAATCATAAAGAAAGCATATCAATTGAGAAGAACAAATGAAGGAAAATTGGATTTAAAAAACAAACAAAAACATCTAGGTTGTAAAGCGATGTAGAAAACTAAAACCAGGAACATGTCTGAGTTGGTTTTTGCTATGAACTTAACAGATGTTTGAAGCCACTTAGAGAGGTCAAGGTTGAGGGCTTCAGATCTTTTTGTAAGATATTCCAGGAAACAGGAGCGGAGTAGGAGAAGACCCTTTTGCCTAGTTCAGTCCTCACTGAGGGAACACTGCAGGTAATAATGTCCTGAGAGTGCACGCTGTAGCTGCACTCACGCAGACACATGTAGGAGCAGCAGTACTTTGTTTAACACACCGTTATCTGCCCTATATCTATATATTTTAGCTGTTTTTGTATAAAAGTCCAACCAAGGACTGGGTTTGCAAATTAACCTGTGGCTAGAAAACCTTCATACAAAACAACGGTTGCTTCGTTTTTAACATGTAACATTGTTTATTGTGTTGTCCTTGTTCAAATAAACATGAATGAATGAAGGTCCAGAGGACCAGACTTAACTTTTTTTTTTTTTTTCTACCTGGATTATTGAGCATGCATCAAGACGTTAATTATATAGATTTGTGTTTCTCAGTCTCTGATGATGAAAATGTCCCCACAGGTGTTTCAAGTGCCATTTTCTTCATACCTGGATTTCTGCTCTTTATCCCCGGAGGTAAATTGACCATAAAATCAAAGGTCTTTTACAACTTTAAAATCGAACAAAAACACTTATTGTCCTTTTTTAAACTCTCTCTCCTCCTAGTCTACCATGTGATCTACATCAGCTGTGCAATCCGAGGCAGAAGAGGCTTCAAGTTGTTCTACCTGCCTTATTTTGAAAAATGAACTTTTATGACACTACATTTTCACTCCTTTTCTACGTTTGTTTCATTAAACTGAAGAGTATTTTGTCACTCGTGTTAACGTTTACTGTCCCGTTGTCTTTTTGAATCATTGTAATGACCACTACTACTTGAACCGCTCCGTGCTTCGACTGTTTTTCCACTAGATGAACTAAGCTGTTTGTTTACAAACAAAAAAGAAGAAAAAAAGATTAATGGTCTCACCTGTGGTTTTAGTGTTGTGTGAATAATGTCTGTGAAATTACAATAAAAGCATTTGTATGTTTTCATTTGTCTCGAGTTAATTTAGTTGTCAGGAAAGTGACCAGCATGCAGTGGTTTCACTCCAACTGTTTGAAAATCTTGCTGGCAAAATGAGAACGTACACATAATTTAGTTAATATTTTTTTCAGCTGGCCTGGCAACAAGCTGGTATTGTTTATGAGCATGCCCGTTTGAAAACAAGATGTTTATTGGTTTAGATTATGATATAATTTATAATTCCAACCTTTGATTTAAAAGAGGAATCCCCAAGCGTCACAAAGATTCCACACATTATATGAAGGGATTTCCTGACACTACGACAGCTGACAGAGAAACATGGTCGATTTGAAAGGAAATTCATTCAACCTTTATTTATACAGGCTCAATGAGACGAGCCTGTATAAATAAAGGTTGAATTGGAATTAAAAAAGTGATATAAAACAAAATTAAAAAAACAAATCAAAATGATTGTTTATAAAGACAAACCCATTTTAATTTAAAAGAAAGTATACATTGTTTGTTACCGGGATCACCAGATCGTGTCTTTATGGGACTCATTTGAACACAGTTACGGCAAAAATCAAGGTTTTTAAATGTTCTGCACCACTGCCTGATCATTCTGACTCGGATTTACCGCCACGGGTCACATCTTGTTTAAGGATTTTTAAAAGCCTGTGGGCAGTACAACTAAACATGAGGAAGAGCAAGTGAACAAGAGTTGAGTTTGTCTACTTGATTATTCCACGTTAAAATCAACACAACTTCTGAGATTTGTCCTTTTTATTTCACCAAATTTAAAGATTCTCTTCCATCGTTTTCCTCCGTCTTGCAGAGTAATACATCAGAGTAGTGACTTAGATCTGGTTAATAAATTTCCGTCTTTGCAAACTTCACTCAATAAAGCTGCTCCGCTGAATAAGAAAGTAATCAATCAGTGGAGATTGTCTCCTTGGTTCAATTCTGAGTTACATACTTTAAAACGGGCATCTAGAAAGCTGGAAAGAAAATTGTGCTCCACTAACGTTGAAGAATTTTACTTATCTTAGAGATATAGCCTGCTAACGTATAAAAACGTGCTCTGTAAAGCTAGAACTTTATATTATTCATCTTTAATTGATGTGAATAAAAATAACCCCAGGTTCCTTTTCCATACCATAACTAATCTAATGGCAAAAATCCTATCTTGGTATACCTGGTTTAGGGCCACGCCGGTCCATATTAATGTCATTAATATGTGGGCGGGGCCGGTCTCGGGCTTTTATACAGTTTTACGAATCATACAGCACAAATAAAACTCAATAAGAATGCACAATCTAACATGGTGTAAATTGTGAACAAGTGCATTTGCAGAGTGGGAGAACACAGTGGATGAGCCAGAGAGTGATGATGAGGTCACACTGTACATCATTCAAAAGCATGCTATGGCCAATGAACAAGATTTTCTGGGATTTTGGAAACTAAACTCAAATGTGTACCCAAAACTGGCCAAGTTGGAGGGATCTGTGCTCTGCATCCCAGTGAGCAGCAGCGAGCAAGTTTTTAGCGCAGCTGGTCGCACAGACCAGCGGAGAACTGCTCTCAAACCTGATACAGTGGATTGTTCTTACATGACAACATGTAAAACCATGTAAGTAGAACACAATAATTTCATGACAGATTTTTAAATATATTTATAATTTTGTATTTAGGCAACTTGGGGTCTAATGCCAGATTCATTTCACAGGTTCATAGCCTAAGAAACGAGGCTGTGGCTGCAGGACGACTGCACAAACTGAGCCAGCTGTATAGATGCGCTTTTTATTTTGTTCATGTTTGTGCGATTCTTATTAATATATTTTTTTTTTTATAATTTTTATTGTTCTTTATCTCTCCAAGTCCTGTTATTGTTGCAATTCAAGATTGTGTAATGTTAATTTCCTGCTTTTATTCTTTCAGCCCTCTTTCTATTATCTTTACCCGCCGTCTGTTATTTGTTATAGCTATTTTTTTTATTAAAGTATTAGTGTAAGCATTGTTGTAGAATTTAGGCCTTTTCAATTTATTTTTCATTCACACACCAGTTTTATTCTGTGGTGTAGTGCGGGTGAACGTCAAATCACTCCGTCATTAGCGACAGCGTGACTCAGCTTAATTTTACACGACTTTCTTTTATGTCTAAATTAAAATAGCTTTGTTCTATATTTTTCCAAATAATTTCTCTCTGAAAATATTTTTGTTCTTCTGTATAATAATCTGTCTTTAGTATTGATTTTTTAAGGCTATTCATTTTGTATGTTAATATCCATTTGTTGACTTGTTAATAAAAATAAATCTTATATATCTTCCTTTCGTTGCATTTTTAAAACTATTGTGTCAAACTGATTTGATTACAAAAGCAGTAAAAGCTTACTTTAAAAAAAAAGTTTTGTTTTTTTTCTGAGTTCAGCCCTCTAATTACCGTTAATCCGTTGGGTCCAGGTAGGGCTTGAAGGGTGAGACTACGGGCTCGGTCCGGGCCAGATTTATTAGGCCCGAATGCAACTCTAATCTCTGTTGAACCATGTATCCCTAATGACTTCATGAGATTATTTATAATTGTTAATTTTTTTTTTTCAATTAGGGAAAATTTTCAAACCAACATTCCCAGTATTGCCTCTGGTTCATTGTCAGATGAGATAACTTTAAAAACGTCACTAGAACCTGATTTATGTTTGGACAGTTTTTGTCCTGTTGAGCTCTCTGAATCGTCAAAAATAATAGCTTCATCCAAACCATCCACATGCCTGCTAGATCCCATCCCAACCAGACTGTTTAAAGAGTTATTTCCTCTAATTAATAACCACATCTTGGCTCTGCTTAATTCGTCTCTAATAAATGGTTACGTACCACAGTGCTTTAAGGTTCCTGTAATTAAACATTTGCTTAAGAAACATAACTTTGACTCAGGCATCCTAACCAATTATAGACCTTTATCTAATCTAACCAGCATCTCAAAAATTCTAGAGAAAATAGTTGCTGGTCATTTCTGTGAACATCTACAAAGCAATAATCTGTTTTGAAGAGTTTCAGTCAGGTTTTAGAGCTCACCATAGCACTGAAACTGCGCTGGTGAAACCAACAAAGTCCATGCTAAGTAATCCAGGTATACAATCCAACAATTTTCAGTCAGGTCATCTGGTAAAACATTTGCACTGGTGACAGTTACTAATGATATTCTCATGGTGTCTGACAATAGACAGGTGTTTACACTGGTCCTGTTAGACCTCAGTGCTGCATTTGATACAGATGATCACAATATTGTACCACAGAGACTTGAATATGATATTGGAATTGCAGGAATGGCTCTAAATTGGTTTAAATCATACAAACCGGATTCCAAAAAAGTTGGGACACTAAACAAATTGTGAATAAAAACTGAATGCAATGATGTGGAGGTGCCAACATCTAATATTTTATTCAGAATAGAACACAAATCACAGATCAAAAGTTTAAACTGAGAGAATGTATCATTTTCAGGGAAAAAACTGTTGTTTCCAAATTTCATGGCATCAACAAATCCCAAAAAAGTTGGGACAAGTCCATTTTTACCACTGTGTGGCATCCCCCCTTCTTCTTACAACACTCACAGACGTCTGGGGACAGAGGAGACCAGTGTCTCAAGTTTAGAAATAGGAATGCTCTCCCATTCATGTCTAATACAGGCCGCTAACTGTTCAATCGTCTTGGGCCTTCTTTGTCGCACCTTCCTCTTTATGATGCGCCAAATGTTCTCTATAGGTGAAAGATCTGGACTGCAGGCTGGCCATTTCAGTACCCGGATCCTTCTCCTACGTAGCCATGATGTTGTGATTGCTGCAGAATGTGGTCTGGCATTATCGTGTGGAAAAATGCAGGGTCTTCCCTGAAAGAGATGACGTCTAGATGGGAGCATATGTTGTTCTAGAACCTGAACATAGTTCTCTGCATTAATGGTGCCTTTCCAGACATGCAAGCTGCCCACGCCACAAGCGCTCATGCAACCCCATACCATCAGTGATGCAGGCTTCTGGACAGAGCGTTGATAACAACTTGGGCTATCCTTGTCCTCTCTGATCCGGATGACATGGCGTCCCAGTGTTCCATAAAGAACTTCAAATCGTGACTCATCTGACCACAGAACAGTCTTCCATTTTGCCACACTCCATTTTAAATGACCCCTGGCCCAGTGCAAACGTCTGAGCTTGTGGAGCTTGCTTAGAAATGGCTTCCTCTTTACACTGTAGAGTTTCAGCTGGCAACGGCGGATGGCACGTTGGATTGTGTTCACTGACAATGCTTTCTGGAAGTATTCCTGAGCCCATTCTGTTATTTCCTTGACAGTGGCATTCCTGTTTGAGGTGCAGTGACGTTTAAGGGCCCGGAGATCACGAGCATCCAGTAGAGTTTTACGGCCTTGACCCTTACGCACAGCGATTGTTCCAGATTCTCTGAATCTTTTGATGATGTTATGCACGGTTGATGATGATAACTTCTTTGCTATTTTACGCTGGGTAACACCATTCTGGTATTGCCACACTCTTTCTGCGCAACAATGGTGGAATTGGTGATCCTCTTACCATCTTGGCTTCTGAGAGACACTGACTTCTTCTTCTTCTTCTTCTTCTTCTTCTTCTTCTTCTTCTTCTTCT